AAGGAGAGAATCCTTCTTGTTACTTGTAACAAGCAGATCACAAGAACAAGATCAGACTATCAGATCAATTCAATCTTTATCTCTCTCCCCTAGCACTATTTCTTTTCTATCTAGAATCTATCGACTAGNTGCCTCTGAGTCTACTAGGAACAAGTAGAAGGCAGAGACCTCTACCTCTGAGTTCTATTAGAACAAGCAGCTACTTCCACCCACCTTTTTCTAACATATTATAGTAAAATATACTTCCTTACCTATAGCGTTAATCTCGAATCTTTCTTACCCTAGATTTCTTAAAACAGCCTTATTCTACCCTTAAAACCTTCCTCTTATAACTAGTAAGACGTTATTATTAGCCCTACGCGTGCTATAGGGTGCGATTTTATAAAGTGCTACACGGCTGATTGGTACTTCCGTCGGAGGCGAACCACCAATCCCCGCTAGTATAAGGTAACTCAGCGGGTAATTTACTATCAATTTAGGCACTGCGCATTGCACACGTGCTTCGGAACATCAGTAAATCCGACTGAGGATTGGGAGCAGTACGACTCAGCCAGCAGCCCGTGTCTTGTTTAGTCAGCCAACACATAACGTTAACGTGTTTCAATCATCCACCTACACCAGTCATTCGCCAGCGCCAAAAACCACCAAAAATCGCACCATCTGATCCCTGCAAATTCAACAACACGCGCATAATAAAAACCCAAAGTCTAATAGTAGCTTTTAGGAGCTGGGCTTGATAATTTTAGTGTCATCCATGTCCTTGTACATGACTTTATTGCCGTCCTTCACCCAGGTGTGCGAGGGTATGGCGTATGGAGCGACCTCGTCGTTAGCGAACTCGGCAAAACTAAAGTTGGAATAATTGGCGAGTTGCAGAAGCCGCATCCGTCAGCTATCCTAGGAACCCATCGGACAGTCAAGCCAGGTCGTTCGACCTGTAGACTGGACGCCAAATCAAACTGAGATGCGGACATATCAAACCATAGGCCTGTGGCGGACTACGCGGTAGCGGTCAAGGACAAGGGAAGGCGCCGGCGGAATGCGATGGAAGGTGAGGTGCGAGTAGAGTGAGCAGCGATGGGATATGAGATGAATAGAGGTGAGTATGAGGGGAAGAGGAGAGGAATAAAAACAGTCAGTGAACAAGGCTGGCAGCTGGCGGGGGAGTGGAGTGGCGTACCCATACGGGATGCATGATCAGGTGTGGTTGAGACCCTCGTCCCTCCTGTTGGAGTCGGCATGCTAGGCGTCAGCGGGAGTTCGCGGCCAGGGAAAGTCCAGGAGATGGTACAGAATAACATTCACGGCGTCCAGGCGTGTTTGCAATCGCGTTCGAAACCTGTATGTCGCGAGGAGAAGCTATTCGGTCCGCTGGTGTAATGGAGTTGTTGGGCTCGCGGAGCGAAGAGAGAGATGACCTAAGGTCTGCCGGACAAGCCCACTCAGGCTCATAGTCAAGCTCTGATTGTCGTATAGAGTAAATGAAAGATACTGGCTAGCGATGGAGCATTGGATAGCAGCTCAGCTGTACAGTCATCATAGGGACAGGCCTTGACCCCAGTGAGATGGTGGGCGTGTTGTATACAGTCGTTAGCGATTGCGGCTTCACTCTTACACGCAGATGCACAACGATTTTGAGCAGCCCCACCTAGAGGATCTTGTACTCCCAGATTCTCAGCTCACCGTAGAACTGAATTCTACATCGGATAACCCGGTTATTAACGTCGAAGATAAGGACGTACATTGTGGCGCCAACTTTCAAGCCGCGTCGGTGACTGCAGCCACCGAAAAAGTTCGCCTCTCGCTGCAGTCGATTGGAAAGATGCTTTTCAGTCAGGTTAGCGAAATGATCAACCATGATCTTAGCAACGGTCTCCCTCCCAATCTTGCTGCCGATGATCCAAGCGTGTCCTTTTGTCTTAAAGGTCTCGATGCCAACACTGCTGCTTACACATCCGAACTCGGGTTTCTTGCTAATCCAGTAAGCAACCACGTCCAATCTGCCGAGATGCACAATCAGTCTATCAATTCCTTGGGTTTGCTTTCTGCACGACAGACATTTGCCGCTATCGAATGTCTCTCTATGATCGCTGCCAACGCTCTCTACACAGCTTGCCAGGTACGTATACATCTTACAAACCATATTTCGGAGCGTATGCTAACTCTTGCCTCTACCTCTGCAGGGCGTGGATATTTGGACACTACATCGTACCTTCCTCGACAAACTCAGAAAGCCAGCTGAGGAACTGCTTGCTTCGTCCCTCCAAATTGAAGATGCAAAGCTTGTTTCCAGGTTCTGGACTCGTTTCGAAGAGACCTGGTACAAAGGGGCCCCGCTTGATGCCGACGAACGGGCTGATAAAGTCTCTGATGTCCTTTCGGCAGTTATCATCACCAGCTCCGAGGCTAGCAGTGACATCAGCGTAACTCAGTTATCAAAGACACGACAAACTCTCAGAGACTTAGTTCTCAACACCTATGTCCAGCATCGTGAGGCCTTCTTCAAGAAGCCAAGCACCCCGGAATACCTTGGCAACGGCACCAAGGTTCTCTACCGCTTCGTCCGCAAGAAATTACAGGTCCCACTCCACCGAGGATTGATCGAACACCCAGTTGCTGGCGCAAAAGACAACAACATGATTGATGGAAGGCCCAAGAAGACTATTGGCTCCTGGGTTTCTATTATCTACGAGGCTGTTCGCAATGGAGAGCTGTACAGCGAGATTTTAGAGTTCCTTCAAGATGAAGACAGCAGCAACCGTGTACACAGAAATGGTAACGGTGAGTACACGAACGGCAATGGTGTACATCCCAATGGCAATGGCGTACATATCAATGGAAATGTTATTAACGGCAATGGCAACGGGATTCACACATAAAGAATGAAAACTAGACTTTGGTTACAATAGCCTTACGACCCAAACTTTTCTTATGACTATCTTAGTAGATAGAGTTAGAAAAGATTGTTTTAGCAGAATTTTTATTTTCCTTCTAGTCAATATAAATGTTTCATAATTGGTAAGCTCCTCTACGAATCAATGCTTCTCTAGCCTTCACTTGATAGTATAGAGAAATGAAGTCTCTTAACTTACATTTGCGGTACTGGTCTCCCATGCTGACCCCAACGCGATGATCATCAACCTGATATTCGCAGCTATCGCTGTGGCATCTGCAGATCAATGAGAAGATATTGCTTATGATATCAAGGCAGGAAATATTGTGGGTGCGTACCTGATGCCGAGATATATGGCCAGATCATTGGCTCGCCGTTCGGCGCTATCGTTGCCTATGGGTTGTACAAGCTTTATGTAATCCAGTCTCCAATACCAGGCCGTCTCTTCCAAATACCTTCCGCAAATATTGTACTGAGTACCTCCAAATTACTTCCGGAGCAAGTTCTACTAAAAGATGGTTTGCCCTTGAATATAGAAGCAGCCGTACTCTCAACGTTAGCTGCAACTTTGAAGATGTATCAAAAAACCCAGAGATCTCAGAATCTCATTTCTTGTGGCATGTCATCTGTAATAGGTATAACTGTTGAGATCCTAGCCTGGACCTCGTCCATTGGAATACTTCTAGTAATCTAACCTCTGCCCTCTTCTAAAATCATACGCGCACTTGAGGGGCTATTTTACAGCATATGCAAACATTTTAGGATAACTAATAGGATGTGATGACGTTGTGATACTTCCTAGTGGACTCTTCATAGGCGAATCTATTGCCAATCTTATCAATATCGGCCTCGGTGCTTTCAAAATGCCAAAGATCGAGTCTCATCGGGAGGGAGTGCATGATTCTCTTTCAGGAAGAAAAAACCCCTCATTTGGCCTAGCACGGCAGGTGTCGCAGCATCTGCAATAGTATCGACGGATATTAGGCGCTAATATTACGGGTCTTCCCAATAAAGTCAAACTTTTAGGCGACGTCGTATATGCAGTGTCAAATGCATTGTGACCTTGTATAACATGGGAGGATTCCTTGTAGGATTTCTCCAAAAGCACAGGCGATCATTACTTTGTAGGAGACAAGACCATACGAGCATATGCAAGCATTTCTTATCATGTATGCGACATTGCATATGCAAGATACGCAGTGACCAGTAGGAAACGTCTATGGATACGAACCAACTCCTTCCTCGGTCTGGCATAGGTACACCACTGCGGACCGAAACACTTACTTGTCGCTGGCGCGTTGGTGGTTTTCAAACTACTATCGCTTTTGGAAGGCCTAGATTCCTCTCTTACATTGCGGCGTAGTTGAGCATCCAAAAGCTACCTGGTAGCGACAGCACGAACAAATCTTTCGAGGTTTTGCGTGAAATATGCAAAGATGTGTGGACATATTCCAGTTCTCAGGGAGCATGCATCGAATATAAATGGAGCCTATTAGCCCATCTCTTGGTGTACCCATCAAGTGCTTATTATCTGCAGCTCCTCATTCGTCTACTACATTATCACGTGAGTGTCACTCGCCACCTCTAGGCAGCATGCTCTTCCCCAACCTAGCTGCTTTTGCAACTCTTCTCGCAATCACTCTTGCCACACCTACCCCTCTTGACGACGGGAACACCGATAACGGGACATCTCACACACTTACTAAATACGAAGTCAATTGCCGCAGCGGAGGAAATACCTTACCTCGCTGCTACGAATCAGGCTCGGCTGGCTGTCGCTGCTCTAGCATTGGTGTCTACAACTGCCAGGATGACGAGTGTAAAACATACTGCGGATGCAGCAGGTATGTGCTACTGAACCTCCAGACTCCCACTGTTGCTACACGCTAGAGCTATTCCTTATCTTGCCTGCTCGACTACTTTAAACATGACACTAACGGTAATAATAGAGTCTATTACCCCCAATGTCCCCACTGCCCTTAAGTCAGAACTATCAAATGTCGGCTTTACTCCGCATAAGGACTTCGATATCTCTATTATCTGGCACAACTTAGACTCTCGGAGCGACTTTCTTACGTTTCGCAAGGAGTCGCAGGGACCAATTGAGCGCATTCTAATCGATTTCGCAAGAGTACTAGAGAGTGGGATGTTTACGGTGTATAGTGTAAATGCTTACTCGCATTTATTCTGTGTGACAGTAGCTTGTGAAAAGAACAAAGATGAGGGAGTTATGGACTTGGTGTTGAGTGTGCTGTAATAGCTATCCACGTTCGTTCTAGGTTCGTCTAGTCAGTAGTGTTGCTTTGAAATCCAAATGTATGTTGGCAGTCACTATCAAATAGGTCATGCTCCTTTGACTGTCACGCTACTTTTTAAGTTCGTTTACACGCTATATCCATCCATCATCACACACTGTGGTGCCATGTCGCAAGCCAGGCACACGTTAGGGCTAGTAGCTCAGTGAGGGCTCCAGATCCTTCACACTAGACAAACCTTTGGCTACTAGCATCCCGACTTACGCTAATAGCTTAAAGACGCATACGCAACTTAGAAATAGATTTTATATAATTAAAAAGGTAGCCAAGTCTCTTAATACTAGCTACCTAGTTGCTCTACCTCTTTTTCGTTTATCACACAGTCTAGCGGCTAGCAGAACGCATTACGATCTAACGTGTTATAATACTAGAGCAAGCGATACTTAGAACGATAAGCTAAGTATCTCCTTAAATATACATACTAAGTGCAAACAAGAGGAATAGATAGGATTGTACACTCGCTAGTTCTAATAATTGCAGATCGTTAGTTAAATAATCTATCTTTACTATATCGTGTTTCACCACCGAGCGCCGCAGTCTCCTCACCAAAACGACGTTGCAACACTGTCTACGTAACACTACCATAGTTTGCTTGATTAACTAGAATAGAGCATTATTATTTAGACCTATTGCTAACTTCTGAATCCTCTAATTTTACTTGGTAGGTGCGAGAATTGTGTCTAGTTTGGCTGCAACGTCCGCAGCGCCGTTCACTGCGCACCCTTTTCACAGGCGTTGCAACGTCGTTATGGCTTCCACTCTCTGCCTCAGCGATCTAATCAGCTATTTAACCAACTGTTTAGAACCCCTCTGGCTGTACGTAGCGCCGCTTGCGAGTTTTTCGCTTTGTGGACGCTTCAACAGCGTCTCGTAGTCGGCTTATTTCCTCGTGCATCAACACCATATTATCAGCACCTTCCCACTCCGCGCCAGCGTCTGTCTGTACATTGCCTCTGCCTCTTCGTACTTGCCTAGGCTGTTGAGCACTAGCGCCAAGTTATTCATGCTCTTCAATGTAAATAGATGCTCATGCCCGAGCACCTTCTCCTTCCGCGCTAGTGTCTGCTGGTTTATCGCCTCCACTTCTTCGTACTTGCCCTTAAGCTCTCTGGCTAGTCCTATTATCTCTATGCTGTCTAGCGTCTCCGCATCTTCTTTCCTAAGCACCTCCCTCCTAACCTATATTAATATTATTACTATCTCCTCTGCCTCCCCTACTCTCCCTTATCGCCACGCGTACTATACTATATCATATAGTAATAGCGCCCACTCCTTTTATAACTCTTTACTCTTAGGCTGCTATGCTAGTACTATCTGTACGTGTAGAAATAGTGCCTTATACTTCTCCTAGTTCTTATTTTCTCCCTTTAGCAGCTCTGCGCACAGGTTTGAGATAAACTACTCTCTCTACTTCTCTAGCTGCCTTTTGTTCTTAAGCTACGTATGCATCGCTAGCTGTACTAGGCTGTGTATCTTAAACATGTCTGCATCTCTAGTTACCGTAATAAACGAGTAGTCTTGTAGAGCTAGTATATCGTCCTTAAACTCGTCGTTGATTTGGACAGCTAATATATGTTTATCCACGGTGCTGCTCTGGCGGCGGAGTAGAGCTTCCTGGATCTCCTGTCGGTCAAAGAAGCTCATTAGCGACAGTAGGCCTGCTGCTAACTTTCTTATCTTCTGTATGTGGTCGAACGAGATCTACTATATTATTAAGATAGAGTTACTAGCTACTATATCTCGGCGGAGGTAACCTACTTTCTAGTTTAGTAGACTTATCTTTCTTTTCTCAAGGGTTTCTGCGTTTAAATAGTTCAAATTTTGTTTTTGTCCATTTGCGATCCTCTGAAGTGGAGGAACTATTTGCTCAAGCGAAACACAACAATCTCCTTGGGGTTCTGGAGTGGAAGTCATTATTCCAGTTGTCTCGCAGCTCTCGAAGACCTCATCGCTCTGGTCGAGCGCATTGCCGTCCGGCTTGATGTCTGGGTACATAAGCATCACAGCTTCATGGCGGTCCACCTCCGATTCCAATAATGCCTTTAGGTATCGAGAGGGCTTGCGCATACCGTCCATCGGTATTGATCTAGTAGGCGCAGTAGACCCGCCTTGGAAGAACTGTCGCCGCTCTTCTTCGAAGGCTTTCCTCTGCAGATACCTCCGCTTGTCGCGTGGAAGGTCCGAATCGTATTGGCTTGTATTCGCTGAACTTGTTTCTGCTAGCTGGGATCTAGGAGGGATAGGGGCTAGTAGGTTTCGGTGGAGCATCATCGAATTGTGTTTGTTGATAAGGTCCATCCGCTGATCTCTCCCAAAAATAATACTCTGCGAATCGATCCCGATCATGGAGGAGAGATAGGCCTGGAACACATGCTCGTCAGAATGCCCCATCGCCTGCACTCTCTGAGCAGTTGTGGCAATTCCTGTAGCCATCAGCGTGCGTCTAGAGCCCGAGATATCCAGACATACTGTCAATAGCATTCCCATAACCACGGCGAAAACAGTATGCAGTCAGTTTGTCCTTGTAGCCTGCTCTCTCACCCAAGCTTCGAATCATCCAATGGAAGCCAAAGTAGCTTAGTATTCTTGTCGGTGAAATCGATCTGTCTGGTTCGTAACACCGTAAATATTGGCAGATTCTCTGCATGCGCACGATAAGGAAATTCGCGAATGGAACTGCCAGGGGACGGCATGTTAGACTGGATATCGAAAAGTGTTTTGTAGCCTTCAAAGATGCTATCCGCTAGTGCAAGCGCCAGGAAGTATGTGACCGGACACATCGCGCGATTTCCCTTGTCCTCGTCGAGAAATACCTTTGAGCTGAGCTCTGGTCAGCGTTCACCTCAAGGAGAGCGGAAAACGTACCCCTGCTTATGGTTATGCCTGTGGCCTTTACGGTTCCGTAGATGTACATGTAGCACGAACTTTCCTTCATCTTCATCCCAAAGCAGCTTCACATCGCGATAAAGCAATCCTTCATTCGAGTCTTTCCAGTTCGATGATTCAATAAACTCCCCAGGGCGCATTCCCATCAGGGTCATCATCACAATGGAGAAGGCAAGCTGGAGACGTGCGCGAGGATGTTGAAACTGGTATTCATCGCATGCCCACAAAAAGCGAATGAGGTCCTCGCTCACATTCACAGGTGCTAGAGGCTTATCGTACGCCTTTGTCGACAACCCTTCGGTTCGAAGAAGATCGTTCTTAATAAGTTGTGTAAACTGGCTGTTGTCGGCTCTACTGTAACCGTGGTTGGTAAATAGTCGAATGGCTCGTTCAAGACATCGAAGACGGTTTTTGATCGTTGTGTCGTTGATCTTCTCGTTAATCAACCCGACGCTTGTACGAGTATACCAGGTAAGAAATAGCGCGATGTGGTTTGCTGGTGGAGGCTCTGGAAAGGGTGCGTCTTCCTGTAGATATATACCCAGGACCTTCTCCGAGAACCTGGCTTGTTAGTTGCGTCTTCACATCTCAGCGTCCACTTACTCTATCCATAGCTTGATTGTGTACTTGTGTTGCCTCTTACTCTCAGGAATGAGCGTTTTCTCGATGTCTTCTGCAGTAAGCTCGGTGTTCTCCACTTGCTGGGCGAGCGCTTGCAGGTCAGCTACATTGCTGTCTCTAGCCCTTCCGCGCACCATGCTGAAGATAAAACCAGCTTTAGCAAGTGAGTGTAGTAATAAATAACTATTTTTTTGAACTTAGTGAAGGTATGTTGTCTGTAGGGAGTAGTGCAACGAACGCAAAAAAGAAAGAAAGAAAGAAAGAGAAAGAGGGAGGGGAGGGGAAGACAAGGGGAGGTAAGAGGGCCTCCATTATGCGGCCGTGTATCTACTGGGGCTCTTAAAACAGCGTCAACTTCTATATAGAGCATCTTCCTCCACGTTACTATATGCCAGAACTGGTCGCCAAAATAGGGATTTAGTATGGCTTGGCAGGCGGTAGTCCTAAAACGGGTTCACGTAAGTTGACAACCGTCACAGTATTCACTATACTACTGAAGATGATGATTTTAATAGAAATAAGAGAAAATTAAAAACTTAACGTACCTCACGGGTTCGTGTCACACACGGGTTCGTGTCACAGTTTTGCCAAGCCCCCACCAAAACCACTACTACCTACCAATGTTACAAC